ACATGACTGGCATGCTGTGCTGTGCCTCGACTTGCGCGTGTGTGTCAACCTCCGGACCTTTCGTGTCGTGGACTTTTCTTCATAGCTAGAACGAGTGTTAAGGGTACAATTCATTGGCATTCGCCGCCGGGGAGGGGGGTGAAGGGGAGGCGCATTAAACGCGCCCGCCTACTTGATTTCCTCTCGGGTACTCTTGAACATACCATTTTACAGACGTAGACTCTCCGCGCGCCAGCGAAGCTGTGGCTGTGGAAAAGGCGCATAATGCTACTGAGAAGTGTTACATCCTAGAGCACGCCGACGTTCCCAAGCGACCGTCATCTCCCCTTTAAAAGGACAGATCAAAAAAAAAATTCCCGCCGGCCATCAGCGCCCTTTTCGACTGCAGTCACGCATTCTTAATTCCCATTCCTGTCTGGGACCTTCATTAAGTATTATTTGCTCCAATAATGAAAGCCTCGTTGTCTGACCGGCAGCATCCGATTTGACCTCTGGACGTGCGGTAGTAATAGTGCCGTGCTATTGTCTCAAAATTACCCTGCTAAGAATGTAGGGGGGGGGGGGAAGGTTTGAAGAGAAATGGGACACAAACCTCTCGTGGGTATTTTCCCCTGACTTAGAATGTTAAGATGCATGCCTGTCGTTTATAAGTCCCTGGATATGTCATTTTTGTTGTTCCATGCAAGAACCAAGGCGATTTCTACTCGCGCTATAAATTGAACCATAAATTTTAATACTGTCACTTTTTTATTCGCTGTGTGCTGACGCTTTGTCCCGCCAAGTAGCCTGCATGGGCGTATCTGATTATGCCGGGGATGTAATGGTAAGCACTGCGCAGTGAAACTACCGCACTTCAATTTTTTGTAGAAACCTCCTTCTTTAATAAGGCACATTCACTAATTGGGTCCGTATGAAGTCCTTCTTAGATTTCCCACTGCAGTTTTTGCTTCAAAGATGAATACTGTCGGCTGTTCTTGAGCTCTGCCACACCACAAGATTGTCAATTGGCTCTCCTCACTAGGTAAAGCTGGGATTCCGCTGTTCCTGGAAGTATAGGTAAAGCTGGAAGTCGGCTATTCCACAGAGATTAGGTAAAGCTGTTGGTCGCCTGTTCCTGAGAGAATAGTCGGACAGCTGATGTCGTTCTCCTGACCGGGAGATTAGGTGTAAAGCCTGTAATTCCGCTGTAGGAGAGCCAAGCCTCCTCGTATCGTTCAGAATGAGCAGTGTCTTTTCTGACATTGTTCTCAGCACTACGTGACATCCCTTCAGATCCATCCACTAACAGGTGCTGACTCATCAGCCGATGATGTGCTGCTCGTTGTTTTTCTCTCGTCGCTCATTCGTGGGCGGCTTCCGGCTTCTCGAACCTTTGTGCACGATCTATTTTTTTTCTCAGCTTTTTGTTCGCTCAAAGATGTCCTTACAAACTCACAACCCTGTCCTCAGTTGCAAAATGACCTCCTGCTCAACAGATGACCTCCTACATTCAGCGTCATCTGTGAAGCAGTCGGGCTATGTAACGTCATAGTACAGAGCTTGTGACACCCCAAGGGCATCAATATCACGTTACGCTGTATTTTTATTCAGTCAAATTCAACTCATCGATGAGAAACCCGTTATTAGTAGGATTCTTTTACTATCTGAATTCTTTGAGTACAATCTGGTAGTATGACGCTATCTGAAAACGACAGTTTCGTGCTCATTTTGCTAAACCAGCGCTTTCCTCTGCATCATCTAAGCCTTTCAATAGCGCTAAACTGCTGCGCTATCCGTGAGGATGTGAGGTGGATTGCGCTCAGCGCTGACGCTGAGTGTTCTTCATTGCGGCGACCCTAGCGCAGTGTTTGTCCCAGTGATCGTTTCCGTGTGTTCCATCTCAATGTTGCCGAAGCTACACACCCTGTATCCCTTTGCTAGGAGCTGAAGCTTCAAATCCAATAGTTGAAGAACAAGTTGCATATTTTTCACCGTGCTTATTTCAGGTGGAGGACGCATGCCGGTGGGTGGCGGATCTTCACGTTCCGGACGCCTTGCCCGGATCAGCCAAAGCAACATACGACCGTTCGGCTCGGGAACTGCCGGCGGAGGATATGGACCAGGTGAGTGCCTATCCTGCTTAAGGCGTGATGACCCCAATTGCTTCAGTTTTTACGCAACTTTCGAAGGGAGCTCTCAAGCAGGAGCTTGTATGTACCTCGTGTGGATGAACAGCTGGAAACGCATCGTTATTACATAGAGTGTTTAAAGACGTGGAAAGGGTGCTCTAGTGTGCTCTGTTACGAGCACCCGCCCAGGTGAAAAAGGGAGTCGATGACGCTAGGGCCGGGCACATTATCCCTATGAAGAAACTCAGGAAGTTTTCAAGTTTCATGCTCCTCCTATATCCGTTGAGCGGGCATGCGCATCTGAACAACTACATATCAGGGGCAGTAAACTTCGCCATCGCGTAGGTGGAGGTCTCGTCCGAAATCAACGGTAAGGAATCCTCAATCAGCTAAATATATCCCCTCATAAGAACAAGAAAACGACTCTTCTGCTAGGTAACTTCTTCAAGGATAACATTAGGTTGTCCCAAAAGTTCGTGTCATTTTCGAACTTTTTTTCGAGTCAATTTTATTCTAAGGAGAAGCAATTTCGATCAATCTATATATTACTTTCATCGGGAATCTGTTGCCACCGCCAAGCAAAGAGTGGTTTTGCTTCCAGGAGCTCTTCAGTTCCGTGCCTAGAAGGGCATCTGGGTGAGGGAAGAAGAGTGGTTTATGAGGTGCTTTTGAAAATCGTATTTACACAGAAGACGACCGTTGAGTTATTAGTTTAGAGGCCAATCAGAAAGAGCTGAATCAGAGCTACACGAAAGTTGCGATGGAATTTCCCCAGCCAGGCTTCAGGATCTCTAGCAGTGTCATTTTCGAAACGTGTGAGCATGCGCTGTGGTTGAGTAGGCCCACACTGGTGTGTTGTGG